CATTAGGTGTATGCAAGAAACTCAGAGTTGTTAGCACATGAATACAATAAATTAACCAAAATCTAATATACAGTTGATGTACTAGAGAATCTTCATTGCTTCCAATAAATGTGAAGACCTTGGATCATCCATGAATCTACTCACGAGTTCTACAACATAGATAATATTGAGCATCATGCAAGCTAGATAGCGAAGGCTACCAACCAAACTCTTGAAATAAGTTACATCAACTTTGCTTCCACCATCTTTCTTAGACAACTTGACTCCACAATCAATGGGAGCACTTACAGATTATTATCCTTTATAGCAAACTTCTTAAGAATTGGTTTTTCATATCCATCCTGAGAGATAAACATGTCATGTTTGCTTTGCTTCACTTTAATGCTAAGTGATAGGCGGTTAAATAATAACCAAAGTTGTAAGTGAACAACTATCAAATTATAGTATAGAAAAATATCGATCCTACGAGGAAGGTGTTGTAGGAGATAATCAAAATTAGTTCTTAAGTTCTTTGTGTGACAATTAGGAGTGATAGGAGTAGCTGCGGAGAGATATGAGGAGTGGTTGTGACTATATGCAAATAAAACAAAAATAGATTAAGAGGGGAGAAAGAAAGATGAAGAAATAGAGGGAAATAAAATCAAGAAACAAATAAAGAAAATCAAGAATAACGAGAAAAGTCAAGAAAGTAAAAGATGGAGGATTCAATTAGAGATATGAGGAATCTAGAATTGGATCTGCTAGTCAATTTCACTTAGAAATTATGAACCATTCTCTTTTTTTATCACATTTTACTCAATATTTATTAAGCATAGACTATCAAACTACTTAAGAAAAGCATAAGCTATCAAGTTATCATCCAAGTAAAATTAACATATGAAAAGAATATTAACTAGATTTTAGTTCTAGAATTCATAAGCACAACCTATCAAACCACTAAAGATAAGCATAGATTATCAAATTAGTCCTCTATTTGATTACTTTAAACATGATCATTTTAGGCAGAAGAGAATGGTTTACAAATTATAAAAAAAAATTAAACTAGTTTCATATAATTCTAGAATTCCTATAAGAATTAGCTCCACATCTTACAAAATAAAAAACAATAAAATAAAATCTAGACTAGAGAGAATAAAAGAAAGAGAAAGAAAATAAGGACTAACTACAAAGAGGAAAATAAAAACAAAGATTAAAGATCTAAACTATGAACAAAAAGAAAAGAACATAAAAGAAAATCTAAACTATGCAGGAATATAAATCTATACTACAAAATAAAAAGGCAAAAAAATAATGCAAAAATAAAGACATAAAATTAAATCTACTGTACAATACATCAAAATAAATCTAAAACAAGAGAGTTCTATCCCCTTAAATATCTAAAACAAGAAAAAGAGTATTACAAGAAAATAAAAGATAAAAGAAAAAATTTACATTGCAAGAAGGTTCTAGTCTCTTGAAAACAAACCTTCATTTTTATCTTCATCTTCATCTTCATCTTCATCTCATCTTCATCATCAAATAAAGAGAAGAAAAGAAAAATATGAAGAGGTAAAATTTTTTGTTTTATTAATTGCAGCAAAGTTATAATTTTTAAAAGGTCTTCTCAATTAATTAAGAGTAATCATCCTCTTCAAATAGAATTTTTATAAAATTTTTCACACTCAAACCCCTCACCTTCTATCGCTATTTATAGCCTATAGTAAACAACAAGAACCATTGGATTTTACTTGGGCTCCAAGGATTAAATCTTAGCCATAAAATAAGTTTGTTACTAACCAATTGGTCGGTCTATTAATTGACCAATCAATTGACCAACCGATTGACCAATCAGTTAACCAACTAATTAAAATTTCATAATTTAAAAAATACATATAGCACTGTCTCATCGAGATAGGTGATTTTCATATATTATGTATTAAATTTCGCCTTCCGGATTGGGAGATATCGTCATTTCTTTGTGGCTAATCATCTTAAGCATGATTTCAGCTTGATTTTCTTTTTTATGGATCCTTACTTCTCCGGCTTCTGTAGATCACTTGGCTTGATCCCGGGCTTCAATAAGAGATTAAAAAAATAAGAAAATTTGAGTTCTCTTTCAGCTCTTATTCCTTAAGTCTTCATTAACCTGTAAATTAAGATAAAACATGTTATTAATGATATATTTATTTAAATAAGATAGATAATGAGGGTATATAAATATAATAAAAATTTGTTTATCGCTAAGATAGTACAACAAGAGTTCGATGACTGTCATCTCAAATTCATAATCGTTGAGATTCTGAACTCCTCAAGCATGTGTGAATTATTCGCTATAAAGATTAAATCATCCACACACAAGTATAGAATAAGAATATCTCCATTTTTGTTCATCTTAGTGTGCAAGGCATGCTCATAAGGACATTTAGTAAAATTATTAGCTGATAAATATTCATCAATTTTGCTATTCCAAACTTACAATGCTTGTTCGAGGCCATAAAAAGTTTTCTTCGGCTTCAACACCTTTGATTCTTCTCCTTACTCAATGTAGCCAAGAGATTGTTTAATATAAACCTCTTCTTTATGAACAACATTCAGAAATACTGACTTCACATCTAGTTGATAGATCAACCATTTGTTTTGAGCTACTAAGGCAATAATCAGTCTTATAGTTTCATGACGAGAAATGGGAGAGAATACCTTGTCATAATCAACTCCAGCCTTCTGCTTGTAGTCTTTCGTAGCTAATCTCACCCTTTGCCTTTCGACTTCTCCTTTCAAAGTCCTTTTCTCTTTGAACACCCATTTGACTTGTAGTCTTGCGCAACTAATTAATCTCGCCATTTGCCTTTTAACTTCTCCTTTCAAACAAGGTAAGTTTCAAATTATCCCGACTTGTATTGTGCCACTGTATTCTTTTCTAGAGGTTCATAACTAATCTCGCCTTGATTTCTTTATCCATATTTGATCTCCATCTTTGTCTAAAACTGCTTTTTTAAAGTCTAGAGGCTCACAACTAATGAATAAACAAAATAATGTTAAATCATCTTGATTTTCGGTCACCTAACACAACTTGCTCAAACTCCTAAACTTTCAAGGTTGTGGGCTTGATGATGATGATATTGATGATAATGGAGAAGTCGATGATTGAAGTGTGGTCAGCGATGGTGGAGTGGATGTCAATAGAGCATGTCTACAGCATCTTTCTTGATCTCTCTCGATCTCTGCCTCTTCATTAATGAAAGTGATTGGCCAGCTACAGATCTCTCCCTTGCCCTAGTCCTATGATTTCTCCTCATGAAATTGCACATCTCAGCTCACAAGAAACTTCTTTCCACGTGGATCATACATCTTGTAGCCTTTGGTTCTTGAATCAAACCCGATGAAAACACATGGGATACTCCTCCTGATGAAAACACATGTGATACTCCTCTCGTTGAGTTTCTCCTTTTCTATTCTAGAATATGAACATAATCGATATTGTCGAATACCTTAAAGCTGCTCACATTAGGTTTATAACTCACTTTAGGTTTATAACCACTCTAGGCTTCTTGTAGAGTGATATTATGAAGAATTTGAGTTGGACATTAGACATTTGAGTTTCTCCTATATTTTTATACTCACTCATGCATATTGATAGGGGGAGCTTTCGCTCTCTTCATTCTTTTGTTTTCACCTTTTTAATGTTGTCAAAGATGGAGAAATATTGTGAGTATATTCTTTTTATTTATATGCATGATAATCACAATATTGTATATTCATTTCCTTTCATGCATATATCCTTTTTGTATATTATTTGTCATCATCAAAAAGGGAGAGATTGTTGACCTTCTTATTTTGATGATGTTTAACAAACAATTTACTTCTAATGTTGTTTGTCTAATATTTGTATAATTCTATTTATTGTAGACAAACAACATGTTAGAGGTTAGATGGATTGCGCTTCAACGATCAAATCTAATGGAGGTTGGCGGAATTATGGAGTGAAGCCTATGCAATTCAAATTGAAGATCCAAGTTCTAGCTTCATCCGCAAGTGTACCAATTTGAACTACATCGAAGATCAATCAAGATTGGGTATATTTAGTTTAGGTTTTATATTATGTGTGTTAGTACTTTAAGCTCAATCATATGTACACACACATTTTTGGTTTTTATATATATAGTTATATATATACACAAGTTTTGGTTTATGGACTTAAAAATCATTGTATGCATATTTCATTAAGTCTATAAAATCATTTTATAGGGTTTCAAAACATTGTTTATGTCAAAATATCAAATTTTATGTATATCACATTTTTATGTTTTGGACACACTTGCAAAATACATGAGTTTTCACAAATGGGAAATTTAATTTGAGAAATTCTTTTTCTAACATGTTCAATTTCATGTTTATAAACGTTTTCCAAAGTTTTATCAATTTTAGAATTAATTTGTTATGTTTATTTGAATTTACAAAATTAAGTTTTTAATAAGCTCATGTTCGTGCACATGTTCGTGCATGTTTTTGCAAAACAGATGCGTTTTCACAATTGGAAAATGAGATTTGAAAAATTTCTTGTTTACATGTTTATCATCATATATACAAACATTTCCCCAAGTTTTACTAATTTTGGAGTTGTTTTGTTATTTTCAATTGAATTTACATAAACGTGTTTTCAGCAGTTTTTTTTCAGAAACTGTATATCTATATTCAAATAATTATTTCTCTCAACTGGGATGTTATATTTCATAAATTCTTTCTCTAACATGTTCATCTATATGTCTAGAACCTTCGCTCAAAATTTCATGATTTTTGGAGTTGATTTACTATTTTTAATTGATTTTAAAAAGTTAGATACGTAAAACTTCAGCATCTGTCAAAATCTGGAAAAGTGCGGTCGACAGCCACGGTCGATCATGCTATAGTGTGATCGACCACCACGGTCAACTGTTAGTAGTGCAGAGAGCATTTTTGTAGTTTTACTTCTCATGGTCGACCGTCACAGTCGACCTCCGAAGTTACCGTTGCACAGTAATGGGTGAAATCTCTCCCTTCAGTACGTTACATAAGTTCCATTTCCTTTGCACCAATACTGTTTTGAAATTTTAAGGTGCTAAAGTATGCAGATGCAGCAGTGTGAAAGATGAACACCTTAATCCTCTCCTATTTGTCATGGGAAGAAAAAACAAGATTATTCCTTAATCATGAGGCATTATGCAGCGACAGCCTCGAAACTACTTACATGGTGTCAATAGTTTCTTCATGTTCACGCTTTTTAATTAATTTAAAACTATTATTATAATTATCTTCTTGCAAGTAACACGTTTGATTTGCTGACTTGCAATCACTAATTAGTAACAATGATAACTGGGTTTTTCAATTCTAAATTATTTTATTTTATTTTTACATACTTAGTGTCGTAAAATTCGTCTAGGATGATGTCATGAGTTGCTGCTCAAATGTTGATATGAGTTATTAATTGTGTTTGCTGAGATGTGTCAGTGCCACAAACAAGGGATTGTGTGCTAGATTATATTGAATTTGAATTTCTGAGTTTGCTGAAGGATGCTTAATTTACTTCATGAACATCCCTGTCAGTATCAAGTAAGAAACGTCTAACCTTATTATAATATTACCTATAATTCTCTAGCAGATGACATATCCTAACTTATTCAAGGTTTCATGTTTAGTATCTAAGAAACTTTCATTTTGTTAATGCAGAAACAACTGAAAGATTAGAAGCAACAGGTTCTGGCTCTTATCAAGCTGTTCCTTTTTCTTATGGAAACAATGGCGGTTTAGCTGATCCCAACAGCTATGGACAAGATCATTCCTCTTATGGAAACAATGGCGGTTCACACATATGCTCCATTGCATTTCATGTTTGTAATGGTAATGGTTGAGTATTTCACACTTTTTCTTTTTTCAAGTTGCAATTCTATCATAACCACTATGTGCGGGGTTCAATTGAAGTAATTCTTCCCTCTCTCTATCTCAATATATATATTGTTCTATGTTTTGTTTTCTTTTGATTGCTTTTCAGCACAATTTATTCTTTCCATTGATAAAAAAGTGAAAAATCTTTATGAGCACCCAAAATCCACTTAGATTATAACATAGTGCAAGCATTAATGAGCTGCCTTTAATCTAATGAACTGCACAAATTTAGATATGATAAGATAATTTTATTTCGTTGGTGTTTGTATTTCATTTTTTTACTATAGTCTAACTTCAGTTAATTGGCAATGCATTGCCCTGATGATCGAAAGCAAAGGAATTATGTAAAAATAAAAATGATGATTAAAATATGAACGTTGTTAGAACATTACGTATGTTGCAATTAATGTGTCTTGGAGAATTGTTACCCAGCTACTTATTATTTATATTTCATATTGTTATGATGCGTCCTATTCATCCTTCACAATAAAATGTTTTGGCCTACTTATAGTTTTAACTACTTTTATATTATGTTCACTAGATAATATTGTCTGAACTCTTTCCTAATTAGCTTATCTTTTCTAGAGAGCAGTACACATCATTCCGACAATGGCGCATGCATGTATATTTTCAATACATTATTGGTTCATTGCTTCCTTCGTATTTCAAATCAATCTATTTACTTTACTTCCTCAGATTCTGAGATCAGAGAGCATTGAAAATATACATGCTCCATATAAGGCTGATGCACAGATAGCATATTTATCATCTCTTAGTGCTGATCAAGAAGGCATTGAAGCTTTAATAACATAGGACAGCGACCTTATTGCATATGGTTGTCAAAATGAGAGAAATTTGTTCTCATTCTAACACAATAGATGATAGATCCATTGCCATTGTTGTACCTATTGAAATTTGATTTGATTTACGGCTGTTGCAGGTTATATTTAAGATGGACAGATATGGAAATACTGAAGAGTTTTTTATGGATAAGGTTTTAAACAATGTTGGTGATGGATTATCTTTCAAGCATTTTGATAAAGAATTGTTCAAAGGTGATGCTGCTTATATAACACACTCAACATAATATATACTGAAGCTTCGTTTAGAACATTTACGCGTTTGTTTACTTTCTTTTATATTTATGTGCAACGTTAACCAACTACGGGGAATGCGTTTTTATTTCTTATTAATCTTTCTGTAACTGACTAAAGTTATAGAAATAATGAACATTATACAATAAATTGTATATTATTCTTTGTCAAAAGTCTAAAGAATTTTTATTGCAATTTTTATTTCAACATAATCTTTTCAAAAAAGTTATGACTTTTCTCTACACAAATTCGTGCATCGCACGGGTCCAAAATTTTAAATATGTTTTCTCATTTTAATGGTGTTGTCATAAATAATATAAATATTGCTTCATTGAAAAAATTTTGTGAGTCTAATATAGCTTGGTCACGACACTACAAGATCCCTAAGAAGTTTTCCTGTAATTATACTAGCACGACCCGGTGCTTCCATTAGTGTAAGTAGACATTCAAAGTCTACTTCATCTTTTATATTTGCATCTTCACTAGAGATCTTATATTCCTTATTTTGCTCACATATAAAAGCATATTTTAGCTTATTCACTTGAAGCCAAATGAATGGAGTTGTGTAAAAATCGAGAGAGCAATTGATTGTAATGGGCTGATTGTTGTGCGCAGCGGAAATTTCGGCAGAGTTTCTGGTGCACAATAAGAGAGAAAGATCGATATAAGAATTCCCGTCTCACCAAGGAGACAAGAATCTGAAGCGGATATCTCAACCAAGTGAGATATCGGCTTTTCCTCTCATCAGTTCTAGGACTGACCTGTCGAGGGATCCTAAAACTATTACAATGGCCACAAACTCAAACAACCAATTTTTACGTGGTTCGGCAAACTGCCTACGTCCACGGGGCAAGAAGGGGGAGATCTACTATTAGAGGGAAAGAATACAACTAGGGTTTACAACTCTCACAATTTAAACCCTCAATTAACTCTCAAATCTCTAACAAAAGGGATACCCAAAAGAAAACCTCTCAAAAGCCGTACAAAAGACTTTTTCTCTTAAAGCCTCCTCTGCCTCCGCACTGTATTGCTCCAAAAGAGAACTCAGCCGCTGCTTTTCCCCAAGCCCCTGCTTCCGTACCTTGCACGCGCCTCCAAGCCTTCGGTTTGCACGCCGCTTTTTCCCTGGCCTTCGCACACGTCCTTGCTGCTCCCTGCAATTTTCTTTTGCTGCCGCCAAAAGAACCCTTCCACTTGCACGAAAACCTAGGGGGGAAACTAGGGGACTATTTATAGGGAGTTATGTACCGGGTGGGCCTTGAGTTTGTCCGCTGAACAAAACCAAAAAGCTATCCCCTTTTATCTCTTCACACGGAAGAGAATGCTGGCCTATCACTACACGTGAAGGTGGACCCCACACGGTTTCACAATTCTCCACCTCGGTGAAGTTTTCCCAAAACTGAGCCGACACCGACCAAACCAAATATCTTACTTGTTGTATCCACAAATGGCCTCCAAAGGCCTCAATTCACTAGAAGAGTTCGCAACCCTTCTCCAATATCATCAACTCTACGGCTGATAGCGCCTCCAATGGCCTCAAACACCTCCACCTGAGGTGAACCAATGGTCATATCCAAACTGCATCTATCAGCTGCACTCGAGTCAAAACCCAACTCATCATCTGCATCCGAATCCAAATGATCTCCAAGCCGTGTCACATCAGCTGGAATCCCAAATAATGCAGTATGATCTGGAGTAATCTTTACCCAATGTGGAGTAGCATCACTCTCCACCCGCTGCGATACCTCTAAGGTCTGTCCAAAACTCTCCACCTGCTGAGAGTCAATTGGCTTCCTCATCGAAGCCTCAACCAAAGTGACACTACCAGACCTATCTTCCAATGGAGTTTTACCTCCAATCACAGCAGTTGACAACTCTTTAATAGGATGACCCAAATATGTCGAAGCCTCTGTCCAGAAACTCTTCTGCAGACCATTGCTTGGCAACAAACACCGATCCTCCTCCAGCAAGGTACGGTTCTCCAAATTTGCCACCCTATCAAGTTGCCCCAAGATTTCCCTTCCAACGAAGTGTCTCGCAATGCCGTGAGCTCGGCTCCAATACAGAAATAGGTCCATCTTGTACCTCCCACCAGAATGGAGTACCTTCACCTTTCTGTCTATTACACACTTCTTCAATCTATTAGAGACTACTAGGACTTTCTCCATCGGGGATTTGGTTGCAACCCAAACACGCCTAGAACAGCCACCAACAAAGGAAACCAAACGCCTATTACCTCCCAATGATGCCCCCTTGGAAGGCCCCCAAACATCCACGTGAACTCCTCCAGAACGACCCTTAGCACGGTGAATAGAGGTGCCACACTTCACCTCGGTCTTCTTGCTCACATCAACATGTTCACTGGACTTCAAACTGCAGGTCTTTGCACCCTCTTTCAATCTATGCGAGGAATCAATACTGGAATGGCCAAGCCCCAAATGCCGCAGTCTAGTCGAATCAACAGAAGTCGTCAGCTCTCCACCTGCCACTATACCTCCAGTCAAGTAATACAGGTTATTTCTCCTGACGCCCTTCATCAAAATACGAGAGTCTCTCGCAATCTCGAGAACCATGTCCTCAACACGAACCTTCAGACCCTCTCCAACCAAAGCTCCAATCGAGATCAAGTTCTTCCTCAAAGAAGGAACATATCTCACATCGTTTAACTCTCTAACAGTCCCGTCAAACATCTTTATGCGAATTCTTCCTATCCCAAGGATCTGGCATGCACGGTTATCAGCCATGTACACCACACCACTATCCACCAGCTTCTCAAAACTGGAGAACCATTCCCTTCTAGGGCACACATGATAGGTCGCACCACTATCCAACATCCATTCAGATTCCTCCGAATAGCTATCTGTAGGACTAATAGAAAGTGAATAAATAGAAGAGTCAGAATTATTACCATCCGATACGATGTTTGCTTCTGATGATGGCTGCTTCCCTTTTCCCTTCTGCTTATTCTTTATCCATTCGTCGAGCTTTGGGCAGTCTTTCTTCCAATGACCAGTCTCCTTACACCAAGCACACTGATCTTTTCCAATTCTAGACTGTGACTTCCAATTCTTTCGGTTTGGACTCTTCCCTCTTGCGACCAACGCCTCCGCTACCGGCTCAACCGAAGCCTCCTTATCCTTCTTTCGAAGCTGATAATTCACAAGTGCAGCGGTGACCTCACTATACGAAAGTGATGCCTTCCCATTAATCAGAGTAAGAACGAAGGTCTCATATTCCTCGTCGGGCAAGGAACTCAACAACAGCAACGCCTTGTCCTCATCTTCAATCTTGACATCCACATTCGCCAAATCCGCAAGAAGCTTTGTGTAGTGGTTCATGTGATCTCTAATGGAGGTTCCCTTCTTCAACTGGAAACGATAAAGTCTCCTCTTCAAATGCAAGCGATTTTCCACACTCTTGGTCAAATACTTGCTTTCGAGAATCTCCCAAATCTTCTTCGCAGAAGTCTCATTCATCACATCATATTTTAGATCTTGAGTCAAACAAGATCTAATCACACCACACGCCGTTCGATTCATCTTCTTCCAAACCTTTTCTTCAACGTCATCTGGCTTGCCATCTAACTCCAAGGTATCCTCCAAATTCTGCGCGTTCAGCGCATCCAAAACCTCGCATCTCCATAATCCAAAGTTGTTTGTGCCATTAAATTTCTCCACATCTATCTTCATAGAGTGGATATTCAAACTCTGAATAGTCTTCACGCCAGAAGAACCACCCTCGACTCCCGAAGCACCTTCTTTCCCCGACATCTTACGCATCAACGAACAAAGAATAGATCCAAAGCTGAAAGATAGAGTCTTTACCGAAAGATCCCACCTTTATCACCAACGAAGTCCTAAACGGGCCTCCAAATTGATCTACTCCTCCAAACCCTAGATCTGGAATCTGGGCTCTGATACCACTTGTTGTGCGCAGCGGAAATTTCGGCAGAGTTTCTGGTGCACAATAAGAGAGAAAGATCGATATAAGAATTCCCGTCTCACCAAGGAGACAAGAATCTGAAGCGGATATCTCAACCAAGTGAGATATCGGCTCTTCCTCTCATCAGTTCTAGGACTGACCTGTCGAGGGATCCTAAAACTATTACAATGGCCACAAACTCAAACAACCAATTTTTACGTGGTTCGGCAAACTGCCTACGTCCACGGGGCAAGAAGGGGGAGATCTACTATTAGAGGGAAAGAATACAACTAGGGTTTACAACTCTCACAATTTAAACCCTCAATTAACTCTCAAATCTCTAACAAAAGGGATACCCAAAAGAAAACCTCTCAAAAGCCGTACAAAAGACTTTTTCTCTTAAAGCCTCCTCTGCCTCCGCACTGTATTGCTCCAAAAGAGAACTCAGCCGCTGCTTTTCCCCAAGCCCCTGCTTCCGTACCTTGCACGCGCCTCCAAGCCTTCGGTTTGCACGCCGCTTTTTCCCTGGCCTTCGCACACGTCCTTGCTGCTCCCTGCAATTTTCTTTTGCTGCCGCCAAAAGAACCCTTCCACTTGCACGAAAACCTAGGGGGGAAACTAGGGGACTATTTATAGGGAGCTATGTACCGGGTGGGCCTTGAGTTTGTCCGCTGAACAAAACCAAAAAGCTATCCCCTTTTATCTCTTCACACGGAAGAGAATGCTGGCCTATCACTACACGTGAAGGTGGACCCCACACGGTTTCACACTGATAAGTTATTGAATGCTTTTGTATTTTATTTCTTTGTCATTTTATGAGGTACTTTTTAAAGTTATTTGTTTATTTAATTATGAATATCAATAAATGATGATTTGAGTTTGTGTTTTTATTGTTGTTTGCAAGATAAATATTCGGAGTTTTGAACGTTGTTAATGGCTTGAACACTTTGATGCACAAGACTTAAATCTGATGGGTGAAGAAATGCAACTTTCAGAGACAACTTAGATTTGAACCCGATACATTACATTACATATTTTCTTCTTTTATATAACTACATATCTATTCATTTTATGTACCAATCTGCATATATAGATGAGATTGAGCAAAATATTAGTAATATTTTGTCCTTCTAAATCATTAGGATTCGACAGGTCAAGAATATTTCATTAATGAAGCTGATTTTTTAAAAAAAATCTTAGATGATCTTAATAATGTAAGTCAATACATTAGTATTATTTTTCTTTTTCATTTCTCATGTTTGTATTTATTTTTATTGATTTTTTTGGTGAATGAAAGGAAATTATAGATGTTATACCAAAAGCATTATATGTACAACCTCCATCCAATTATAACTATGATCAAAACTAATACTTATAGTAACACCTCAACACCTCTCTCCATAATCAAGGGGACTGTTAGACCCTAGAGGGGGGTGATTAGGGTCTTATGCTAATCTAATCCCGATTAAAAGCCAATTAAAATTATGTTGATTAATTTGTTCTTGCAAGAATGATATAAGATAGATATGAGCAAGAGAGATATGAATAAGCACAAATAAAAAGTACGCTAAGCAAAACACAAACAAACGATATGTTTACGAGGTTCGGTCACCACGACCTACGTCCCCGCTCCTCACCTCGAGGAGATCTCCACTATCACAATCCGGTTTGGAAGCCAGAATTTCTACACACTTGGTTTACAAGCTTACCGAAAAACTCTCACACAACAAACGTTATGCAATCACACTTTACACACTAAGTGTAGGAACCTAGCCCGTGTCCTCCTCCTCAAGTGCTTGGATGCAACCTCTCTCTAGGTTCGTCAACCGACGCCACTCCTATTGGATTTGACCCCGTCTCACGCCTCACACTTCTCTCGGTGTACAAGTGTATTACAAGTGATTCTCACAATAAAAGGTAAATATAATGATTTGTTCTCAATAACAAGTGAGAACACAATGAAGCTCACACTCACTAAATCACACACCAATACCCACAATATAGTATGAAGATATTAAGCTCAATATGTGTGTGTGATAACAGTGAATGAAAATAATACAACTCAATAAATATAGTAAATAAATAAAAATGAAATAGTAAAGCTATATAAGGAAGAGTTTTAGAAAACTTCTCAATAAACAAGAAGAGTAAAAACTCTTGGTTTTCTTAGTTACTGAAATAGAAGAGCAATGGGGTATTTATACCCACTCAAGAACTCAGCAAAAACCAACTTGAAATGACCAAAAAACCCCCAGAGAATTAAATCAGAAACTAGCCGTTGGAATACAATCATGAGTTCGGCGGTCGACCGTGGCGGTCGACCGCGAAGCACAAAAAGTCTGAGTTTGGAAATTAAAAGCTGGCGGTCGACCGCAGCGGTCGACCGCGAAAGTCTCTGGATGATTTCACGGTCGACCGTCACGGTCGACCGCGAGCACATAAAAACCATAGTATGAAAGTTTGCTTCTGACTGTCAACCGTGATGGTCGACCGCAAACTGATACTTGGCATATGACAGGTTTTTGGGCTGATTTTGAAAATACTTTAAAAATATCAAACCAATTCCAAAAATAGTAAAACTTTTTGAAAAGTTTCTAAATGATAAAATGAATATGTTAGAAAAAGAATTTTTGGAAAAATAATCTTCGTTTGCAAAAACACACTGTTTTTTAAAAGTGTTCGTAAAACCTGTATTTTATGAACATGAAAATTTTGATATGACTTATAAACACGTATATATATATATCATGCATACATTGTATATATATAATAAAGTATGAATGAGCTGTAAACATGAAATAAAAGTTATTGTAACAACGTTTGATGAAAAATCATTTATATGATAGAAAACGTCAAATCCGTGTTAAGTGTACATATATTGAGCTTAAATATAAACATACAATATATGTAAGTAAACTACTCTTATACCTAGGTAAATCCACATATATGAACTTGAATCTTTAACGCTTGATTGTCGTGTGTTGAAATACCTGTAAAGAGAAACATAAAAACAAAACTAGAGAATATATTAGCGATAAATTGTTTGACAAATCATCATCAAAACTATAGGGCCAACAATCTCCCCCTTTTTGATGATGGCAAACAATTTATTTATTGATATGAAATATATATTGATAAACCACATATAACATATAGACCATATATATCATGAATCAAAACTAGACTGATGATGCAGTACAATAAGAAGATGCAGTTAGAAGGAAGGATCGTCGCATGTGCCTTTATATTGACTATGATCTAGCACGCAATGTCACACCTTTGCGGTAAGACGCGTCCATCATTTTGATTCATGAATCATTCCCATATCTATTTAAAAATGTTAGCGCTCAAATACCACCATCCATCCATACAATCCTGCAGAAATGTCTATTTTCAAATCCTTCTCCGTTCTCTCACTTTCTCTGGCCTCCCTCATACTGTTGTCCTCGTCTCCCCAACCCGCATCATCAGAATGCAAGGAGCAGGACAAGCTTACCCTCCTACAAATCAAGAGCTCCTTCGGGAACCCTTCGAGCATGGCCGATTGGAGCAACAACACCGACTGCTGCGCTTGGAACGGCGTCAACTGCGGCGCTTCATCCGAAGAGATCATATACTTGTGGATCACCAACTCAAATACCTCCAACCGAATCCCACCAGAAGTTGGCGACCTCCCAGACCTAAGAAGGCTCATCATCTCAAACCACCCGAATCTTGCAGGTCCAATTCCGGAGTCTATTACAAAGTTGCAAAACCTCCAACAACTCATAGTCAGAGGAACCTCAATTTCGGGCGACATCCCACGTTTCCTTTGCGATATGAGGAACCTTAACTCCCTTGATCTATCAGCAAATGACTTCTCCGGGCCGATCCCAGCTTGTTTTGGAAGCAATCTCTATATTATTGACTTCAGCTATAACCAACTCTCAGGGCACATCCCGTGCACATTATTCAAGGGATATGGTGGCAATGAAACTATCCTTAATCTGCGCCGCAATCACCTAACTGGCAGGATTCCACTGTCATTCAGTGCGCTCAACTTTTATAAATTTGATTTGTCAGAAAACAACTTCATCGGAGATGCTTCTCATGTTTTCGGAAGGTCGAAATTCACCGAAGAGATTCACTTGGCGAACAACGGGTTCAGCTTCGATTTGTCCTCAGTGACTTATCCGCTTTATCTGTCGTGGCTCGACATTAGCCATAATCGAATAAGGGGAAGTATAGATGAGCAGATCACAGAGCTACAAGGATTAGGGATTCTTGATATGAGCTACAATAGGCTCTGTGGACCTATACCGAGTGGGGGTATGATGAGGCCATATGATCAGTCTAGTTTTGTTCATAACAAATGTCTCTGTGGAACTCCGCTTCCACCCTGCGCCAATTAATTGGAATCAACCCCAATTCGATCTTCGGCATGTTTAAGCTAATTAATAATGATGATCATGCTCTGTAATTTACGGTTGTGCTAGAATTATCCACTTATGCCGTGAACAGACTTTAGTAGTATGAATAAAAAACCTTCATTCTCCTTAAATGAATTGAAGTATGTTTTTCCATCCCTGTACAAACAGGAGACCTTGATCTCTCCACTATTCTAAATGTTGGTTATTATTATCAGATACACCCAAATAAGTGGATGGATAATATCTTATCCTGAAGATAAGATATTCATGATCCTAATAAATGTAGGATTCTATCTCTAGCCCTTCATATACAGATATAGGATTTTCATGATGGGTGAATGAGAGAATTGACCATAAACATTCACATCGCCGTCATCTCCTTCTCCGTTCGAATACGTGCTTTATGCTGCAGTTACGGGGGATATGCGGGGGCTTCTCCTTGGTTGCACTGTGCTGTTTCTCTTCTTTCTATGTCATAATTTTTTATTCATTTTCTCTTCTTCCTATGTCATGATTTTTTTTTCTTTTCTTCCTTTCAAAAAAAAAAAATCATAAAAATATTGTCACTTGCCAAATTAATAAGAATTAATCAATAGTTGATCTATTTGATAAATTTTAAATTTTCTAATCCCTAGTTAGTTTTGTACTCATGTTCACCTTTTATGATAACCCTAAATAAATTTCTTAAGAAATGATTCTCAAAATAGTATATTTCACTTAAGTCTTAACTTAGACTTTTAATTAAAGTAATAATTTTTTTTGCATGCTTAACTTAGAATAGAAAATAATTTTTTAAGATGTCTTAATCTAAGTATTTTTTTAGATATATATACATATACACATATATATTTTAAAAAACTAACTTTGCAAAAGAAGAGTGTGAAAAATGGGCACAAAAAAAAACTCTTGAATTCAAGGTGATTTCATCTTATAAAGCCTAAGTTGATAGAGTAATTAAGCCCAAGGAGTATTTCCATACTTAATGACCTAAGCCCAATTATGTTAGGATTCATCAGCCCAAAACTTATTAAATAGTCACTTAGAAAGCACGATAAAGTAGAAAAAAATCACCAAGAAATAAAGAGTGATGTTTATATATTCATAGTTATATTTATATATATGCTCTTAAAAAATTATTTTAATTAAGAGACTTAAAAATTGTTTAAAAGAAAGAGTTAGCATGTTCTTTTCAAAACTTTTAAATTAAAATTTTAAGTTAGACTTGGTTTTGTATAGCTATAATGAAAAGATTTTCTAGGATATTTACCTTAGAATTACATATAAAAAATTTTCTTGAGTAATAATTAGCTTCAATTAGAATGTCTAAATATATCAAATAAATTAATTATTTACTAACTTTTTTAAATTGACAAGTTGACCGAATTTTATGGGTATATTCATTGCAAAGCCTCACAAGATTACAACTTGTTGTTAGCCTTCTTGTTTTGATGATGTTTAACAAACAATTTACTTCTAATGTTGTTTGTCTAGTGTTTGTGTCTTCATATTTATTCTAGGCAAACAACGAGTTGGAGGATGGATGGAATTACGTCATAACGATCATATCAAAATGGAGGTTGGCGGATATAGTGGTTGAAGCAATGCAATTCAAGTTCAAGATCCAAGTTCAAGCTTCATTCGTAAGATTACCAAGTCAAGCTATTGAAGATCAAGATAAAGCTTGGGTAATTTAGTTTATGTTTTATATTATGTGTGTTAGTACCTTAGGCTCAATCATATATACACACACATTTTAGTTTTGGTTTCTATGTATATATATAGTTATATATATACATACATGATTTTATAGTTTTCATGTTTATAAATATAAAATTATATTTTTTGTATTTATTATTGTGTTTTGTATTAGCTACATAGATATGAAACAACAAACAAATTTATTTACATTTTTATTTGTTTCATATTCTACTATGTTTCAGAATATATTACATAGAATATGTAATTTTGTGAAAATATTATATTCTCAGATTTTGGACTTAACAATAATCATATACATCTTTATTAAGTCCACAAAATTATTTTGTAATGTTTTAAAACATGGTTAAGCTAAAGTGTCAAAACTGATGTGTTTACATTTTCATGTTTTGGACTATTTTGTAAAATGTTGATATTTTTTACTTGGGAGGTCCTTTCTAAAAACCAATTTTTGTAGCATGTGTATTATTATATCTACAATTATTTTCCAAAGTTTTACATTTTTTTAGAATTTATTTGATATTTTTAAATAGAGTTTCAAAATTTGAAAAACAGTTTTTCAAACCTGTTTCATATATCAGTTTGCGGTCGACCGCCTTGAGTCCAGAGACTCAATATGTAATTTGATGGCTCGCGGTCGACCGTGACGGTCGACCGGATGCAGTCCAGAGAGTTTCACGGTCGACCGCCACGGTCGACCGGCTGATGTTCAGAGCCTATATTCTGTTTCTAAGTTGCTCGCGGTCGATCGCCGAACTGTCATTCAGCCTGTAACGGCTAGTTTCCAGAGCAGTTTTTGAGCTGGTTTTTGGGTATTTTCTTAGTTTTTTTGGGTTTGGGATTGCATATAAATACCCCCTTATACCTCAGTTCTTACAGGCATCCAAGAAATATTTTAAACAAGTTTTAAAAGAGTTTAAGTTTGGTTTTAAGTTTGTTTAAGGGTTTGGTTTGTGAAGAATTCCACAAGAGGAAGTGGAGATCAATTCATTGATATTTGAGCTTCAATCCATCTCTCTCTCTTGTCATTTATTGGAGAAGTTTTCTAAACTCTATCTAGCTTTACATTTTGTATTGTTTGATTATCATTCTATTAAGCTAGTTTTTACATTTGAGTTTAGTTGATTTTATTTCACTCATTGTTTACACACACCCACTTGAGCTTATCGTATTTTCATACATAGTATATTTGGATTGGTGAGAGTTGTAATAATTGAGTGCGAGGTTACATTGTGTTCTCATCCATATTAGAAAATAATTATTTATTGTATTGTGCTTATTGTGAGATTTACTTTGTAATACACTTGTACACCAAGATAAGTGTGTGGTGTAAGTCGAGGATCGTCCCAAGAGGAGTGACGTTGGTTGGAGAGGTTGTATCCGAGCACTTGAGGGAGACACGTCTAGGTCCAACACTTGAGAGGGTATAGAGTGGGATTGCAAGAGTGTTGATTGTAAAGTTTTCGTTTAGCTAAAAAACCGAGTGTGAGGTATAAACGTTATTCGGGTGAACGTAGAAAACCCGGTTGTGATAGGGATTTCTCCCCGGGAGTGGGGAGCAGAGATGTAGGATGGAAGGTCCGAATTCCGTGATCATTTGATTGTATTTGAGTGTGCTTTGGCATTTATTCTTTTTTATGCTCATTGCTCATATCGCCATTATCTCAATATTTAGTTTGCCCACTATCTAGTTTCAAATTGTTTACCCTTGTGTTAGTTTCATATCCTTGCATATATATCTCATATTATATCTTTTTACTAGGATATATTCTTTTGTTCATATTGTAAATTCTTGCTCATAATTAGTTGTATATCTATCTTGCAAGAATATATTTCTTAATTAGTTTTAATTGATATAAAATCGGATTAGATTAGCATATGACCCTAATCACTCCCCCTCTAGGGTCTAACAATTGGTATCAGAGCTTGGTGCTCTTTGATTTAATGACTAATCACATTGAGTTAAAGATGCAAGTTATCTTCTTTTTGTGCTAATCTTGATTTGATTGCATTTGTCTTGCTTATTTATCATGGACATAAATTGTGCACCTTGTTTAGGTTATGCCATTAATGTTGCTCCTCGTTTAGATAATTTCTTCTATGCCCAATGGTGTATTAGATTTAAACTCTTTGTTCAATCTAAACATTTTGATTTATAGGAAATTATAGATGATGATTATATTATGCCACTTTGGTCGACCGATGAGAGCAAAAACGTGAAGAAAACGTTCTGGACCATCGTCGGTCGACCGGAAATTCTGTCGGTCGACCGATTTGAGCTCTCGGTCGACCGGACCGGTCGACAAATGACTCTCTGGAAAAATACTGACGAATGGTCAATTGACCGGTCGACCGTACCGGTCGACCGAAAACTGACATTCAAGAAAAATCGGTTTTAGAGCTGATTTTAAAACCCTGTTTAAAAATATCAAATAAATTCAGAAAAATGTAAAACTTTGAGGAATGATTGTAGACATGATAATACACATGCTACAAAAACTGGTTTTCTAAAAAGACTTCCCAAAAGAGAAATATCATCATTTTACAAAATAGTCCAAAACATGAAAATGTAAACATATGAATCTTGACATTTTAGCTTAACCATGTTTTGAAATATTACAAAATGATTTTGTAGACTTAATAAAAGATGTATATGATTATTGTTAAGTCCATAAACGAAGAAAACAATATTTTCACAAATACAATAGAAAATGAAACCTATGAGTATGTATATGAAAATATATTTGTTTCATATCTAAGTAGATAAACCAAATCACAATAATAAATATGAAACATGTAATTTCATATTTACAAACATGAAAACTAAAACTTGTGTTGTATATATATGTGACTACATATATATACAAGGAAACCAATAAAATGTGTGTGTATAGAATATTGAGCTTAGAGTATATAACACACATAATATAAATCCTAAACTAAATTACCCAAGCTTGATCGTGATCTTCAATGAGCTCAACTTGGTACACGTTGCGGATGAAGCTTGAGCTTGATCTTTAACTTGAATTGCATGTTGCTTCACCGACATTCCGCCAACCTCCTTTGGATATCATCGTTGAAGCTCTATTCCATCCATCCTCCAACAATGTTGTTTGTCTACAATACATAGGAATGCACAAACACTAGACAAACAACATTAGTAGTAAATTGTTTGTTAAACATCATCAAAATAAGAAGGCCTACACTTCCTTTATAAATGACTATATATGTTCTACTTCTAATAAAAATACATATGTGCCTAATAATGAAGATTTGAATCTTGTGAATAAACGTATTTCATCTTTAGATTTAACTTTGAATACATGCATTGATAACCATAAGAAACTTATGGACAAGTGTGCTAAATTTAGTGCTACAAAATCACTTACACACTATGCACACTTGTATAGCAAAATTTACAAATATTCTATTTGTAG